CACCTCTAGTAATATATTTACTGAGAAAAATGGTGACGTGTTCAATACTTATTTTACCCGCTGTATATGATTTAGTTTCCTTTCTCCTCTTCCCTCCAAACTCATTAACTTACCTCAGACTGAAACTGAAGGGTCTTTTAAACTTCTTGTACAAAACCCTGTAAACATCTAAAAAATAAATAAAGGCATCTCCCACCCCTATGAGAAAACCATATGAACATTACATGTGACATACATAATATGCCTGTATCACAAATGTTTTTGTGTAAGTTGGGAACATTTGTACCCTGTTTATGTGATAATCTTACATGCAAAATGTTTTTTTTCCTGTAAGGGCAGCTTGCACTTTAAACCTACTCATAACTAAGCTAAAATGTTAATAAAAAGACTGAAATGTCAAAGCCAATGGGAAGCCCATTTCCGCCTCCCTGATAAAAAAAAATAAAAGTTGTATCTCATATTTATGACTTAGCTATGTCATTATTATGAGATTCTATCTCATAATGATGAGATAGCTAAGTCATAATTATGAGATAGTATCTCATAATAATGAAAGAGTATCTCATTATTATGAGATAGTATATTATTATGAGATATGAGATAGTATCTCATTATTATGACTTAGCTATCTCATTATTATGAGATATGACTTAGCTATCTCATTATTATGACTTAGCTATCTCATTATTATGAGATATGACTTAGCTATCTCATTATTATGAGATATGAGATAGTATCTCATTATTATGAGATACTATCTCATAATAATGAGATAGCTAAGTCATAACAATGAGATACTATCTCATATCTCATAATAATGAGATAGTATCTCATAATTATGACTTAGCTATCTCATTATTATGAGATTTGAGATAGTATCTCATTTTTATGACTTAGCTATCTCATTATTATGAGATATGAGATAGTATCTCATTTTTATGACTTAGCTATCTCATTATTATGAGATAGTATCTCATAATTATGAGATAGCTAAGTCATAATTATGAGATACAACTTTTATTTTTTTATCAGGGTGGCGGAAATGGGCTTCCACAGTAATGGGCTTCCATAAAAGCCTTTATAATTGCACATAGCTTGTCTTTAATATTGCCAACACGTGTACAGTAGATGCTACATGTTGGGTCATTTCAGCCTGAGGGGGTAATTATTTGGACAGTTTGTACAACAACACGAGTGATGAGATCAGATTTACTGCAGAGTTCTGTTAACATCATGAATCCACCTGACCTGCTGGCAGCAGACTGGGCTTTGATCTGGATTCAGTCACCTGACACACCACGGCTCGGCTCCACCTCAGCGGGTGTGTGAAGAGGATCCAGCCCCATCACTTCAAGGTTATCTCCTGCAGGAAGCTCCAGTTTTTGGGTCCTATGGGAACTCTGATAACCGCGCTGTTCCTCTGGGCTGCAGCCGGAGGTAAGAGTCCGTCAAACGGATCAGTTAAAACTCTGTTTACTAGACGTAAAGCTACAAAATATGCCTTAAAGCAGGCTGCGCCGGACACGGACCTCCTCGCAACCTCTTCCCGGCTGTTATTAACCCGCTAAAAGCGAATAAAAAATATATTTTAACAGAGCTAAACGAGATTAAGCTAGGCTATATGTTAACCTGATGGTGAAAGCCTCGCGGGGGGTTTAGCTTAATACGCTTATAAGAAGCGGCGTTATATAACCAGGAAAATGCGCCCACCTTTCTGTTCGTCTGTCGATGTCGCCTCTGCCTGCTGGGGGGGATTTTACTCACAATATGAGATGTTTATTGGGCGAATTAGGTCCAGAAAAAAAGGCTAATTTAGAGCTTAAATAAGGTTAATTTGAACAGGACACGTGCGGATGCTGTAGCGACACGCGCCGCTCGCTTTGAAGCGGCCGCTGTAGTTAAACAGGTGGGGGCTCCCTTCAGAGCTGGAGTTTACCTGCAGGCAGTAAAGAACAGGCCCACAGAGACAAGCACTGATGTGAATTTATTAATTCTGTAGTTGGATTAAACTCGGTGTAAATTAAACATTTGTCCTTCCATCGTCCTCGTGCACACTGCTCCTCTCCGGCGGGTCACGTGTCTGAGTGCAGCCCATTGATCTGTATGGATCTGACTGACACAACACTAATGCACAGGTTCATTACCACACTGCCTGATTATTTTATGTCAGCAAAATATCTCATCCACCACTCAGTGAGCTTGGATAAAGCTCCCATAAAATAATCCATAGATGTTATCGATCAGTAACATTTAGGAGTCAACCTGATTCAAGATGGCCGTCACAGCAAACTGAACTTTGAAAACACAAAAATGGCTTCGACTCAGTCAATTTGACAGATGTTGACCTAAAATTTGGTGTGTTAGTAGTTAAGAGTCATCCCCAACACATAGCCCAAGCTCTAATTGATTTTGCGAAAACCTTCCTTTGGCATTAACTGTTGGCTTTAGTTTATTAAATTATCTGATCAACCACAGGATGGATTTTGATGCGACTTTGACAGTAATTACTGTAACGTAGAGATGTAACAACACATTGATCCACATCAATATATCTATTAAATGAATAATGATTCAGTTATATCAAGGAAAAATAAAACATTGATCCATATCGTCATTGTGTACCTGATGTGGAGTGATGTACAGTGGGTAAAATAAGTATTGAACACGTCACCATTTTTCTCAGTAAATATATTACTAGAGGTGCTAATGACATGAAATTTTCACCAGATGTCGGTAACAACCCAAGAAATCAAACGGTAAATGTCCAGAAGTGAAGTTTTTTGTAATAATGTGGAATGGTACAGGGAAAAAGTATTGAACGCATGAAGAA